AATACTTCCAACTCTATTTTAGACACAAGGAGGACTCAAGCTTCCTTTAGGACATTTCTGTACCTTTAAGGACCTCATCACATCTGCTGGGAGAGGGTGTGATGTGACCTTTGTTCCTTACTTTGCCCCCAACTGCTTTCCTTATCTTCTGGTTGTTGTGTGTGTTTAGATCTAGCAGGCAAGGCTTAACCTAGGAGACCATTTGTGTTCTAAAGCCAAACAGGCAAAGTGACAGAATGCAAGAGTGAGCTCCTGAACCCCAGCCAGCAAAGGTGAAAGGAAGGAAAACTTCCAGTGTGCTGACGGGGCTGTACCTGGGGCCTGGGCCGCGTCCCCCGTAAACAGGATGGGGAGGAGCAGCTGGCCGCCCTCGGAAGGTAAGCAGACATCTGCATCAGATGGTGTTGACCCGTCAAGGACACACCCCTTGAAGCAGCAGGGTGCCTGTCCTCCGGCCAGCAGGCAGCAGGGTGCAAGGGTCCCTCACTTCCCCATACACCTCACGGTATCCACAGCATTGTAAAGTAAGATATTCATAAAAGGGGACACAGAAGAAATGAGGAAGTGGAAAGGCTCCCAAATCAAGTACCCTGGATGTCCTTCTCTACTGTAACTCCATCAGTGGGGTTTTGATTTGATCCTTCATATTCACTCAGCTTCTAGGACAAGCAGGTCAGTGGGAAGTACCGTCAAGTGAGAAACCTCTGTGGTTGGTGGGGACAGAGAGTGGAAACCCTATAGTGTACCTGGGTCAGAAGCAAGCCTGACAAATGAGGTCACTCTAAACAGAAAAGACTTCTTTCTCTTTGTGGGTCTGTTCTTGTTTCATTCATTCAAAATATTTCTGCGTGTTTACGCTTTGTCAGGCCCTGACCGAGGACCCAGCAAAACGCAGTGAGAAGACAGTGAGGTCTTCCACGGTAAGAAGCATCACTGCGGGAGAAACATCACCCAAACCAGCCTGCAGGCAAGTGAGCAGAGATCAGAAGTAGCTCCGTACTGTGGGGACAGCAGAGAGTGGTTTACGGGGACAGCTGGGGACACAGCAGGGCAGGTGGTAACAGGGAAGAAAGGGACAGCTAGCCGTCCGCAGCCCGAGGACATGTCAGGGAGTGGACACTCCAGGCGAGGGAGCCCCGTGCCCCAGTTTCATGTCTAGGAGCGGGGTGGGGACCATGGGGAGCTTCCAGGCAGGGCAGGCCCGGCTCAGCTGACCCTCTGATGAGAGGGGCCCAGGCTGTCCCTCCTCCTCCTGTCTGCTCTCACCACTGCTCCTCATCATGCAGATGTCAGCCCAGAACTGGCCAGGCGACGTGGAGGCAGCAGTGCATCTGTAGGGCCTGTCCCGCTGTGAGACAAGCGCTGCAGGAGGAACTGGGGCGCTCACGGGGGAGCAAGAGCAAGGAGGACGGAAGACGCAAGGATCCCGAGGAGCAGCCCGTCCGAGCAGCCATTCGGCCCTTTCAGGTAGGAATCCTGACACTGCTTCCTCCAGCGGCCGGGGGAGGAGACGGCAGGGAGAAGCCAGCAGAGGAAGCTCCATCCACACCCCGGGCAGGTGACGGAGCAGGGAGCACCTCGGGGTCACGCCTCCGTCCTCAGACACAGAGCGGGCTCTGAGGGGCGGAGGACCCGCGCCCGGCACACAAGCGTGCGCCGTCTCCCCGCTGAGCGGCCTGCGTCCAGCACGGGGACGTGCCCCGGCTTCCCCTCCTCTCGTCTCCTCTCAGACGCCTCATCGGCTCCTTCCACACACACAGGAAGAACATCAGAGGAGGAGGAGGAGACGGGGTCTGAAAGCACCGCCCGCTCTTTCCACGCCTCTGGGCCTGGTGCAGGAGATGCGCTTGGTGAGAGGACGGGACCAGCTTCTCCGTGTTCTCCACATGCCCCCTGCTCAGTGAGGCCCCGAGGTCCCTCCAGGTTTGTCCCTGGCGACGCCACACACCTGTGTCTTTCAGGGACTGCTTTTTGGCAGGAATAAAGAGATGGGATTTTGTTTCCTATTAACAGACTGAGTGGTGCATTTATTTTGCCTCTTCAGGTAGCATTTGTAGACTTACTCGGTGGGCTCTGAACAAGGACGAGAACATGACAAGTAGCTCACAAGCTGGTTTACCTTCCTTCCCTCCTCTTTCGCTCTGATAAGCTCTATGATTTCAGCCACACTCGACTTCTCTCCCGTGCACTGCGAGGGACGATGCTGGGTGTCAGACACAGAGACTCTCGGACTCTCTCCCTGGGTGGAGTGAACGTGCCCGCTGGTCTGCGGTGTGGTGTGTGGGCACCTGGAACTCACTGAACCGCTTCGCTCAACCCCAGTGAACTCACACTGGAGGGGCAGAGTCTGAGCCAAGGACACCGCCTTGGGGGTGAACGTGGGAACCCACAACCCTGGGCCGGGGTGCTCCCTCAGGGCAGAGGCAGACAGCCAGGGGCTGGGAGGGCGGCAAGACCCATGCTGGGGGTTTCTGTTCCAGAACCTTGCTGCAGAAAGGAATTCAGGACATTCCCACCTTTTCATTTTAGTCTTTCTTTTCCCCTCCTATGATTGCTACTGAGCTATTTGAGAGGAAAAATACAAAGAGATTTTCCTTCTGACAATGACACTTTTTCAGGAATCTAACAAATCAAATACTTTTTCAGATTCACTTAACAAGAGTAAATATTTAAATTCCTATTATTTTTAGTCCCTCCTAATTGTTTCCTGTTTGCTTACAAATGATTCAGATGAATGGTATGCCATCAAGTTCCCTACCCACTCCCCAAATATAAGCCTCTCCTTTCCTATGAAAAGAAGTAAAATCAGGGGTTGATGAAAAAAGATGCGAGTGGACCAGTTTTTCCACTGCTAATCATAAGATGCAAAGTTTCATTTTTTCCCAAAGTATGAAAAAGAAACAGACATCTATAAGAATTTCACTTATTATAAGAATTTTACTTAGTGGTTACATTAATGATTGACACCCTGGACATCATTCCACATTATCTATAGATGTCATTCAATGGCATTCCTATCAGCGGATACAAACTTTAAAACAACAAGCCAACCTTCTCAGAAAAGACCACAATAACAGAGAAAGGGGTGGAAGGCCTCATACCAGACCTTGGCACTGGTTCCCTCAACCGCTTCTGTATTGTTTGACCTGCCACTTCAAGCATGCCCTCGCTTTGTGATGAAAACAAATTCCAAAAAAGTGCTACAAGTCCTAAGAAAATTTAAAAACTGATATATATGTTGGAAGGATCAATCACATGCTATTTCCTCCGGAGTAACTGGAAGGTACTCATACAACACGGACATCATGAACGGATGCTCTAAGGATATACTTAAACACACACAGATTTGAAAACAGAAAGCAGGACGAAACTCTGCCACCAGCATGTGACTTCTAAGCTGCCAAGTTTCCCTCAATTTCCTCACGAAGGGAATTTAGACACCGAACTCCACCTTCCCTGGACTTGACTTTAACTGAACACCTGACTAGTAAGCAGACCATGATGTCAGTCTGCAAACTTGTGCCCGAGCCATTCAAGTAGCTCTTAACAACCACAGAGGTGTTCTGTCCAGCTTTTATAGACACCCCGCACACAGTCAAGTTAGAGCTGAAGAGCTGCTGAAACCCCGAGATACGGAGGCTGCGAGGCCTGTGAGCAGCCCCTCCTGTTCGCTCCCCAGTGATTTACACTCAAGAGCCAGCAGGTGCTGTCAGTGGACATCTGCCCTCCCTACCCCAGGAGGGCTGGTCCCTTGCCTCATCAAAAGCACTGCAAACACACACTCACGATGCAAAGATAAAAGCAGACAGCAGAGGCAACTAATTCAGTGGGCTGGAGCTACAAGGGCATAAACCTCTTTTCAGATGGCCTCTCTGAGTTGCTGAGGCCTGTCCGGCATTTCAGGGGGGCTTTGTCTAGGTGAGGAACATGATTACTGTACACACCTGAGCAGCCCACCGCCCACAAAACGAGCCCGGCAGATACAGGAGGAAGCCTGAGGTGTTCATTGTAAAACATAATAAAAGCAAGTTCTGAAGCTGCGATCCAGGGCAGTGCAGAAGTTTCCTTTCCCATCTGTTGACTCAGGTACTAGTCTGGCTGACTTGTTCTTTAAGTGGTCTAATAATGCCCATGAAACTGCCCCCAAAACAATAACGTGATGAACGAATGTAAGATGCCATCCTAATCTGAATACTGGCCTGTTCCCACAAGGAGCCGCAGGCAGGGGGAGGAAGCAGTCACTCCTGTCCTGAGGCCGCCTTCCTGCCCCACAGCACACCCCTCCCCCAGACAGCGAGGGGAGCACAGGCCCTGCAGGGTCCACCCTCGTGGATACACGGCCTCAGTGATAGGACTCTGACGTTCCCGCCGACCTCCGTCAAGGCAGGGACTCCGCTCTGCTCTGCTCAGAAGGATCCTTTAACTCACTCTCTAACGGGTTCAGCAGCCCCCCCCCCCCGGTGGTGCCAGCACAAACCGGGCATACAAGCGCGACCACCCTTTTGTAATAGTGGGAACCACGTAGGAAGGTGGTGTGGGTGGGAGCACGCCTTTCGTGGAGCCCTGCACCCAGCGGCTTGGGCTGCGGGAGGCGCTCTTCCTCCACCCCTCTGGCAGCCTGCCACACCTGGAACCTCCATCTTCAGCTGCAGGCTCCGGGCTTAGTCAGGTTTCCTCACCAGCTCCTCCACTTAAGACACTGGCAGGGATTTTCACAGGCCAGCTCTGAGCAGGCCATTCCCCACCCTCTGAAGAGACCTCTGCCCCCGGGCAGGACACCTTCGCAGCTGAAACCAGCTACGGTTTTTAGCAAAAGGCAGGTTGAACCAAGCCTCTCACTTGCTTCTCTGCTTTGGGGTGTTTTTTACATGTGAGGGGCCCCATTGAGTAGCAAGGTCACACCAGCCGGGACGCCGGCCTGCAGGAGGCCTTGCTCGGGGTAGGTCTGGACCCCAGGCCCCTGGCAGAGGCCGGACGGTGAACGCGGCAGGGGTACTCACAGCTTGGGCTTGGCGAGCAGAGGCGGCGGCTCCTTCGTGGGGGACAGCAGGGCGGACGGGCTGGGGAGAGCGGTGCCGCCGTCGGCTCGGCCGTTCACCAGCCCGTTCACTCCGCGTGCGCGGTGCGCGCCGGTGGCTTCCCTGTCGGCGGCAGAGCTCGGCCCCGACTCGGGGCCGCTCACGGGAGGGGCCTCCGCCGGCTTCTGCGGCGCCAGCTCGAAGGGGTTCGGCTCCCAGAGCGGGGACGGCGGCGGGAAGTGGCCACTGCCGGACTCTCCTGCTGAGTCGTAGCCGCAGGCGTCTGTGCTGGCTGAGGGAGGTGAGGGGCACTCGGTAAGACGGCCGGCCGCAGCCCCTTCCCCCCGCACCCACAGCCTGGAGCCCGGGCCTGGGGCTGCTGCGGGGGCCGCGCCGGCGGGGGCGGGGCGGGCGGTTCCCCAGGCTGGACTCATCTCCCAGGGGGCTCACAAGTGCACCCCAGCTACCAGATTATTAACAAACTTCAAACAAGAGCTAAAAAAAATGACAGCAGACTATGGTCAGGACGATCTTATATTCAGGGCAGCAAAAGAGCCACAGAGGTAAAGAACAGACTGTTGGGACTCTGTGGGAGAAGGCGGCAGTGGGATGATCTGAGAGAACAGCGTTGAACCATGTATATTATCATATGGAAAGCAGATGACCAGTGCAGGTTTGATGCGTGAAGCAGGGCACTCAGAGCCAGTGCTCCGGGACGACGCTGCGGGATGGTGGTGGGGGGGTGGGGGTGGGACGGAGGTGGGGGGCGTTCAGGATGGGGGACACATGTGCACCAGTGGCTGATTCATGTGGATGTATGGCGAAAACCACCACAATACTGTAAAGTAATTATCCTCCACTTAAACAAAGCTTCGCTGGTGGCTCAGACGGTAAAGCGTCTGCCCACAATGCGGGAGGCCCAGGTTCAATCCCTGGGTCGGGAAAATCCCCCTGGAGAAGGAAATGGCAACCCACTCCAGTACTCTTGCCTGGAAAATTCCATGGACCGAGGAGCCTGGTAGGCTACAGTCCACGGGGTCGCAAAGGTCGGACGCGTCTGAGTGACTTCACTTTAAATAAATTTAAAAAAGAAACAGACCACACAAACACCAACAACAGGCGACACTTCATCCTCTTATTCTGTTTCAGCCTAGAGCACCCTACCTGTGCTTCGCTGAGGTTAGCTCAGGCCACAGAGGTTCTCTGTGCTGAGCAGTGGGAAGTCACCCCTTCATTCATCTGTCCTAAAGCCAAGCGAGGCTCTGAGGGAAATGTCTTACGACCTCATAGGGAATTATTCCCCGTTCAGGCGACCGCTACAGCTGTGACTCAGAGCAGAAGAACACTGCTCATTACTCTCAGTGGGTAACGGAGAGCATCCTGACACAAGGGTGTGTCTTCCCAGGACCCTGTGCCCCGCCCAGCGCCCAGCAGGGCTTCTGGAGTGTCCTGAAGATGCTCCCTGGGGTGAGCAGAAAGCTTGAAAACAGCTCTTGGTCACGTCTGGCCGAGAGTAGGTTTATCCCCGAGAAAGACTGGAATACTACTTGCTAATCTCGGTCACACAAACGTGGAGCTGGAGCTTTGGCTGCATGGTCAGAGCACTGCACCTGTGCTGGGGCCATTCGCTGGGACCATCTTCAGCCCCAAATCAAACTGTGGACCCTCTCTGTGGCTCGGATCACAACCCTGGAGCCTCCTGTTAACAGAGGCCTCAGTCCTGCCAACGGAGCCCTGTGAAGGAGAACTTTATAGTTCCTTTCTTACTGAAGATGAAGAATCAGGAATCCCTCCTAGCGCCCTAAACTGGTTTGTCTGTGTCTCTGCCGCCCCCTACCAACAAGCGTGCCGGCTTCCAGAGAAATCCCTTTGAAACTTGCAGAGCGTTGAATCCACCTCTAGCTGAGGACTGCCTCCTGACTGTGGTACTAGGTGCCGGCTTGGTCAAAGAGGTATTTTATAGCCGTTGTAAAATAAACAACAGAAATAACGCCATAAAACCCAAGTAAAGCTAGTTAATAATAGCAGAATACTCATGTTTGACTCCTGTGACCCCATGGACTATAGCCTACCAGGATCCTCTGTTCATGGAATTCTCTAGGCAAGAATACTGGAGTGGGTTGTTATTCCCTTTCCCAGGGAATCTTTCCCACCCAGGGGTGAAACCCATGTCTCCTGCATTGCAGGCGGATTCCTTACCACTGTGCCATGAGGGAAGCCCCAGAAAACAGTTAACTAAAGGTCAAAGAAACAGAGGAAAAGAACGGTTTCATGCTTTCCCTAAGTGCTAAGTTTCTGAGTTTACAGAAATGCCCCGATGTTCTTGGAGGTTGGTTTGAACAATAAAACGCACTGCTTGAGTTTCTCACAGGACTCAGTTCTCAGTGAAATCTGGTTTCTACGATCTCTGCCGCTTCTGTAGGTGTACTGAGCGCGGTTAAACACTGACTGACTCGCTTTGGTGCCCCCCCATCCCCGGTTGCTGCTCATGTCATGCCGGCAGGCGGGAGGACATGGGTCGCCAGCTTCATTGTTCCTAGGACAGAGAGCACACTCCCGAAGCAGTGGCCTACGTGTATTGTCTCACCACACTATCATCACCCTGTGCTTTCATCGCTTGTTTCCCACAGCCCATCCCCACTGGCTCCCCAGCCCCCCCCCACTGTCCCCCAGCCCACTCCCCCCGCCTCCCAGTGCCCCCACCCCAGCCTTCTGTTTTGTGATGAAGCATGGACTGTTAGCATGACTCCTGGAGGCTGGGCAGTCCTCTGGGCAGTCCTTTCTGCAGTGGGGACCTGGCATACCTGCAGTGACCGCCAGCTGGGCAGTGCTGGCTGCTGAGCCGTAATCATTGCTGGCCGAGCATGTGAAGATGCCAGCGTCCTCGGGGAACGTCTCTGCGATAACCAGGGTGCAGATCTCCTCTGGAAGGAAGAGAACCGAGTCACTCATCAGAGGGCAACCACAGGGTGGCTCCCAAGAAGCCAGACTTCTGCCTTCCAACCCAAGCAAATTCGGTAACAGTTATCATGGGGTCACTTTACAAAGTATTCACAGTGGAATCAATTGACATTTAATTTAGCTATTCAACCTGGTGGCAAAGCTTTGGAGTCAGATGGATGCTTGGTGATTGTGACCAAGCTCTGTCTTCATCAGGCTTGGCTTCTTTGTCTATAAAGCAGGGATAACGTACTCCTTGTGAGGGTCCTGTGACGAGGACACAGGAGGTTTGCAAAGTGTGTGCCCCTACGCTCGGTATGTGGGAGATGCCAGCCCTGCCTAGTTTGGCTGATGCTCATGGAACTTCTCAATAACAAAAGAGCTGCTCATCCGAAGCCCTTACTGGGGACATCAAGCTTCTCTGAGAAGCTGACAATGGGGAAAAGAGAATATAACAGGGAGATGTTTGACTGTAGACAGTTACTCTGGAAGCTACTGTTATGCAGCATGGCTGTCTTCTGTGGGGTGAGAAGCTCAGACTCTGGGACCAAAGACTGGGGCACAAATGAGGGTGTTGCCACATAGTGCCTTGTGACTCTGGCCCACCTCTTACCTAAAGATGGAGACAGTAAGAGAAAGTACCTTCTGGGTCTTGTATGAACCATGACTCATAAATCATCCATCACAGGGTTGTCGTGAGGGTCGATGCTGGTAACCATAACAACAGTTCACAGTCACAGAAGCCCTGCTCCAGTACCAGGTGCCAATACCAGCACTGAACAGACATGAGTTTAGATTTAACCTTCATGTCAACCTCACAAGTTACGTTTGCTATGATTAGCCTGTTTCACAGACAGGACAGCTGAAGCACGGGGATGCTAACTGATTTACCCAAAGTCACGCGGTTCATAAGCAGCAAAATCAGAATGTGAACCAGATCAGGCTCCAGACTTCACTCTCATGACCATCTATGGTTGCGACAAGACACGAACTATGCTCAGAGCACTGCCTGGTGACTTAGGGCGACTGCTGCGTTGTAAGCAACTGCCAGTGGTTTCATTAAAAAGCAGCTTCCTAGTTAATCAATGTATGCATAATATGCATGTGTCATTTTGGGAGTCTATTAACTATTATCACGTGGAATGATGGTCCATGTTGCATCAGTGACACAGGATGGCTGTGTTGGTAAATGTTAAGAAAAGTGTATTTCTGATTCCACAGACACTCTGATTAATTGCACATCATGTGGAATACGTGAGACTGTGCTGTGGATTGTTTGCAGGAATGGCTGTGGCTGCTCCTCCTACACCCAGGCCCTGGGCACCGGGCTCTGCAGTCCTGTCTCAGCCTGGGACCCAAGGGATACCCTGCTACACCCAGGCCCTGGGCACCAGGCTCTGCAGTCCTGTCCCAGGCCTGGGATCGGGGGATCCCCTCCTATACTCAGGCCCCACTCATCCCGGGCTCTGCAGTCCTGTCTCAGCCCTGGGATCGGGGGATCTGCTCCTATACTCGGGCCCTACTTATCCCAGGCTCTGCAGTCCTGTCCCAGCCCTGGGATCCAGGGGATCCCCTCCTACACCCAGGCACCCCCTACACCTGGCTCTGCAGTCCTGTCTCAGTCCTGGGATCCGGGGATTCCCCTCCTACACCTAGGTCCCCCCACATAAGGCTCTGTAGTCCTGTCTCAGGCCTGGGACTTGGGGGTTCCCCTCCAACACCCAGGCCTCCCTGCTTCGGGCTCTGTCCCAGCCCTGAGATTCAGCTGGCCTGGCAGCCGCTTTAACCTGGGAGGCGGTGGGAATGATGTCCCTTCAGAGCCAAAGTCTTGGGGGCCCTGTCCCTCTGCTCCATCTCTGGGAGCCCTGATGGACCCTTGGTGACCTGGAACTCAGGGCCCCCCAAGCTGAGATGGGCCACTGCCCATCACCTGAGACCACTGGCTCATCCCAGCTACCCTGGAGGCTGACCACGCCCACCACATGTGCCCAGGGGGTGGGGGCCAAGCCTGACAGAGCTGCTGATGGCTGAACCACAGAATTAGGCGCCACACAGGGGGTCACCACATGGAGCCACTGGTGTTTGCGCCCCTGTGCCTTGTAGCCAGAGCTGGCAAACCTGGATGAGGGCCGCACTTCCCTTCCTCTGACAGCGCTGAGGGAACACTTTTCAGAGCTCAGAGTAAGGCATCTCCCCTGGAGTCAACCACCAGTGATGAGAGTAGCAAACTGGCCTCAAAACAATTTAAGAAGTACTATCTTATAATAAAAATACTGCTATTTATTAAAATTACATCTCTTAACTTTTACATACCAACAGAAGTAGGAAATGCAAAAGTAGATCAATTAAGGCTTCCTTGCTGGCTCCACGGTAAAGAATCCGCCTGCCAATGCAGGAGACATGGGTTCGATCCCTAATCCCTGAGGATCCACACACTGTGGAGCAACTAGGCCCGTGCACCACAATTATTGAGCCCGTGCTCTAGAGCCTGGGAACCGCAAATACTGAAGCCCAGATGCTCTAGAGGCCATCCTCTGAAACAAGAGAAGTCTGCAATGAGAGGCCTGAGCACTGCAACTAGAGAGTAGGACCTTGCCAACCCATCGATGCTACTAGAGAAAAGTCCAGCAAAGATCCAACTCAGCAAAAACAAAAATAAGTAAATAAAAGGTACACCAAAAAAACAGTAAATAAAATGAAAGTAAGTCTTCCTTTATATCCCAAGAGAGCTTGCTGACCTTGACTTCAATCACAAGACATGCTGAGTTCTTAATAACGTACTGCTCTCTTTCAACAAACAAAATTATTTTCTCTTTTTGAAATAACAGTATCATGGAAGACTTCCTATGCTATGAATAGTGGGAAAAGGCCGGGAACTGTGCATTTTCTCTTCTAGTTTGTTTTAAACTAATGGGCGGGGGGGGTGCCATCTCCTTTCATAGGTCATGATCTACAGTTTAAAAACACTGCCCTAGCGGGCCCACTAGAGTTCCTGGCTCAAAAACCATCAAGGAATCCTGCTAGATGGAGCTGTTTGGCGTATTAGGGAAAGGGTTTTCAGGGATAGGCTTGAGAGCATTTATAGCACATGACTATTACTGATGCAAAGGCTCAGTGACCAGGAGAGGATGACAGGGAACAGGGGAAGGGTGCCCTGTGTGTCCTGACTGCCCTGCACACACTTCCACGCTTCCCACTGACAAGAAAGACATGAAGCAAGAAACAATTCCAATGGGGGGTGGGGGGGGCGGTGTCACGTAAGATGGATCCTGGAGAAAGTCAGATTTATCTGGAAGTGCATCGGGGACTGGGGATTTGTAAAGTGAACACACAAATTTGGGCTATGAGGACTAGCTCAAATTGCTCATTCCTTTGGGCGAGGTCCCAAGGGATCCTCCCAAGGTCACAGTTAATTAATGTTGAGGCCCAAATGCTGAAGGTCACACCCTGCCTCCCATGAGCTCCTTAGCACAAGGCATTTGGGTGTTCTGCATTTTCTCCTCGTCCAGAAGATGGGGAACTCAATGGAAATGAAGCTGCGAAAGGTGGGAAAGTGGGAGTTTCTTGGATCTGAACATCTGAATTACTCTCAGTGTCCAAGTGACTCACTGCAAGCCCACCTGCACGAGAGCTGGGCTCTGCGTCCTCCAGGGACAGACACACTAGGAGGACGCCAGTCCAGCCCCAAGGGCACTGTCACATGGCCCTGCTGGTAGGAGAAGAGAAGAGAGGAGAGGAGAGAAGAGAAGAGAGGAGAAGAGAAGCCCAGTTCACGGAGACCTGGGGAAAACCCCCACCCTCCACCCTGTGCTGGCCATCCTCTGGGAAGTGGGCTCAGCAGCATTTGCTGCTGGGCACCCATGCCCTCCTCCCCATCGCGTTGCCCTGGAAGATGGAGCTTCTGGAGACAGAGAAATGCCTGAGAAGCTTTCCCTGCAAGCATGCTGTTTACAGTCATACACTGCTGTGCTGTAAAGGTACCTTTTAAGTCAGGATAAGGTCCTACCTAGCAGGGAGGAGAGAAATCGGTCTGGGAGCAATGACCTCGTCAACTCTCAGAGTGCCTTCTTATGTTATCTACAATTTTGTGATCTCTTTTTTTAAAAGTCATGCCATTTTAAGAAAACCCCAGCTTGTCTATACAGCTGCCCCTTCTCACCCAGAGGACCCTTCAGAGAATGAAAAGGCTTTGGGTTTCAAATCTGACTCAACAAATTTCATTTTCTAGAAATTCTCAGGAACACTTCTCCTGCATAAAATGAGGTATGTTCATGCACAGAGCTGATGACCGACTGGACAGTTTACACAATGAACAAAAAAGAATAAAAAAGCACGAGCAAGTTCTTTGGGCTATCCTCAGACACTGCCACGTCTCAGGGACTCTTACACGATGAAGCTTTAGTCCAACGCCCTAGAAGTTGTTCAGCTTTGCTTCTCTTGGAAAACTGCATCCGAAATTGACCACAGGCTCACGTTTTGCTGAGAAAGCAGCATCTTGGCTCGTGTGCTTCTGACATTAAGGGAAGAAGAAAGCCAGGAAGACAAGGCACGAGCCCAGCGCCAGCACTCAGTTCTCATCCGGGAGCATCTTCTTTGAACAAATACCTTAAGACATCTGTGAGGTGCATTTTGGTGAGGGATGGGAATCAGGAAATGACTGCTTGTCTCAAAGACAGAGTCTCACTTGCTTGTGTTAAAAAACTGTCCTTTTAAAAAATGGAAAAGTTTAAATTTACTAATGACTCTAATTATGATCTATTCGAATCCAATTTTCCTAACTGGAAAGCTTTGATTTGAAGACATGTAACAACTTACTAAATCAGAAATATTTTTGCTGGTGGTAAATTCTATTTTCTTTTACCATTACTTAAAAGTTACTTAATCACATAACTACCTCTCAGAGGTTAATCCCAAATTTCATTCAACTTCTTGGTCATGCTTAACTTTTCATTAAATACAAACGAAACCATTTTGTTTCCGGAAA